TAAAAAGGGGCCTCTTAACAGAACAATCTCAAATGGCTGAAAGACACCTAAGGAAATGTTCAGCATTCTTAGTCAAAAGAAAAATGCAAAGCAAAATAACTCTGAGATTCCATCTTACACCTGTCAGAGTGGCTAAGATCAAAAACACGGAGGACAGTTTATACCAGAGATGATGTGGAGTCAGGGGAACACTCCTCCATTGCTGATGGGAGTATAAACTTGCACAGATGCTTTGGAAATTAGTATGGTAGTTTCTCAGAAAACTGGGAATCAATCTACCCCAAGACCCAGAAATACCACTTTTTGGGCATATACCCAAAGAATGAACACTCACACCACAAGGACATTTGCTCAACAATGTTCATAGCAACATTATTCGTAATATCCAGAACCTGGAATCAACCTAGATGCCTCTCAACTGAAGAATGGAAAAGGAAATGTGGTACATTTACACAATGGAGTACTAGTCAGCAGTAAAACCAATGTCATTTTGAAATTTGCAGAAATGGACGGAACTAGAAAAGCCATCCTGAGTGAGGTAACTCAGATCCATAAAGGCAAATAGAATATGTACTCTCTCACAAGTGGATATTAGACATAAAGCAAAGGACAACCAGCCTACAGGGTACAACCCCAGAGAACCTAGGTAACAAAGAGGGCCTTAAGAGAGACTACATGGATCTGCCTAGAAAGGGGGAATAGACAAGATCTCCTGAGTGAATTGGGAGCACAGTGGAAAGGGGGGAATGTGAAAGGGGCAAGTGGAGGAGGGACGGGGATTAGGGAACATGTATAGCTCAACAACAAAAAAAAATGTGACTGCTGCTTCACAGATGATTTCAAAGTACTTAGAAATATGCCAATGGCATTCTTTATAATGAGAAAAATTTCAAATTCACATGATATCACAAATTACCCTTTTTAAACAGATTAATCTTAAGTAAGAACAGCTACAAAATCCTGATTTAAAACAAATTAACTATGCTATAGTACTCAGAATGGTATGGATTACTCAAAAACTTTTCCCAAAGTGCTGTTAACAGACAATGTAAGAAGAGCAGAGGAGGTGACAATGGATGCCTCTGTCTCGTAATATCATGCTGAATCCCAATTATTTGTGCAATTACCATGTGTCACTGAGTATCCTTAAAGGATGGTAATAACAAAACAAGGATATACACCAATAGGACAGAGTAAGAGGCTCAGAAATAAATGCGTGAATTAACTATCACCTGATGTTTACCAAGGCTGTCAAGAACACACCCAGCAGGAGGACAGTGTCTTCAACAAATAGTGGTGGGGAAATAGGGCATCCAATGCAGAAAGGAGAATTAGATCCTATGCACATTACACAGAAAAGTCAGCAAACAGATACAGAGTTAAGTGCTAAGATGTGAACCTGGACACAGCAATCCACCAGTGTGCGTGTACAAAGGCCATCAGACCAGCACAGGACAGGAACAGCGGCAGTAGTCAACAGCCAAGGAGGGACTCTACCTGCAGTGATGATTGGAAAGGAAAACATGCCATACATTTGCAAAGGGACTCTGATACACATGTGCAAAATGAGAGGTCCTATGATATAAACATGTAGATGAACATGGCAAACATCTAGGAAAGTAGAATGGCTGGGGACAGAAAGACAAATTCCACAAGGTCCCACATACATACAAATCTTAAAAGTTGACTAGAAATAGCAGAATGCTAGCTATCCATGTCTGGAGGAGGGGATACTTCAGAAGATACTGGACAAAAATCCAATGAATTTCAGTTACATAAGAAAGGAAATGAACAAAAAGCATAAAACTAAATAAGAAAAAACATAGTTTTTAAACATCAATCTAGACAATGGCAATTTTAACTATGACACAAAAAGTACAAGAAACCAAATAAAAAATTACAATAGGGCAAAATCCAACTAAAAAAGCTTCTTGCCAGGAGAAGAAATAATCAAAAAATACAAAATAGAATGGGAGAGAAATGTTTGCAAACCATGTTTTCTAGGAGCTACTCAAAATATATAAAGATATCATTTAACTCAACAGCAAAACAAATCAAATACCCAATTAAATATGAGAAGGAACTTGAATATGTATCTCTAAAAGAACAGCACACAACTGGCTATTAAGGTTATGGACAGATAGTGAATGTCATTGATCTCAATGAACGGGAAGTTAAAATTGAAATGAAGAATTATCAAAGGTCTTTAGGTGACTATCAGTAAAAGACCAAAGACAACAAGTTTTGAAGAAGGTAGAAAAAAAGTGAACCCCTTTTGCTATTTGATAGGACATAAATTGGTATAAATATTCTGGAGTGTATTAGAGCATTTCCTAAAATAATGAAAATACAAGTTCTATATGATCCAGAGACTTTATTTCTTTTTTTCCCCATTTTTATTTGAATTAGAAACAAGATTGTTTTACATGTCAATCCCAGTTCCCTCTCCCTTCCCTCTTCCCCTACTATCACCCTCCCCAACTAACACCCTACCTATCACATATCCTTTCTGCTCCCCAGGGAGTGTGAGGCCTTCCATAGGGGGTCTTCAGAGTCTGTCATATCTTTGGGATAGGGCCTAGGCCCACGCCCTTGTGTCTTGGCTCAGGCAGTATTCCTCCATGTGGAATGGGCGCCCAAAGTCCACACCTATGCTAGTACTGATCTACTGCAGGAGGTCCCGTAGATTTCCGAGGCAGAGACTTTATTTCTATGCATAAGTAATGGTTAATCTTCATTGTTGACTTGATGGAATTTTAAATTACCATGGAAACAAATCCCTGGGCATTTCTATGAGGAATTATCTAGATTAGGTTGTGTGGGAGACCTGTCCTAAAGATGAGTGGTACTGTTCCATCAGCTGGGTCTCCAGCTCATGAAAAAGGAGGAAGAGAACTGAACATGGGTCTCTGCCCCTCTGCTTCATGATTGCATATGAAACTTGACCAATTGCTTCATGTCCCTGCTTCTTTCCTTAATGGGCTATATTCCCCAAAACAAACCCTTTCTCCTGTGAGTCAGGTTTTGATTTTTTTTTTTTGGCTTTGTTTGTTTGTTTGTGGTCAGTCATTTGGTTACAGAATCAGAAAATAGATAAGATAGTGCAAATCAGAAAGTGATTTGAACCAGACTCATCTGTGTTTCTTTCACAATTATCCAGAGCAGTCAAAATGTTGATGGACCATGAATTCTCCTCAGTGGCTGGATGGGTAAAGACAATGTGGAATAGAAACAGCATTTAAAAAGGAGAGAAATCCTGCCATTGGAAACACTATGTATAAACCTTAGTGCAGCGGGCTAAACGAAATTAGCCAAATATAAAAATGCAGTGTTATTAGTACCTCTCTGAGGAAAATGGGAAACCTATGAATTTAGACACTGCTCTCAGATGTCTAAAACCAAGGGCAGGAATAAAAGGATGAATCAGCAGGCAAGATGAAGCAGGATGGAGAGGCTCTTACTGCATCAGCCAAACAGTTTATTTTAATCTCTGGAAGGAGTTGTGGCATGTGCCTACACACACATTCTCTCTCTCTCTCTCTCTCTCTCTCTCTCCCCCTCTCTCTCTCTCTCCCTCTGTCTGTCTCTCGTGCACAAGCACATATGCATGCACACAATCACCCACCCATCCACACATACATATTATACCATCTCACATACAACAACAGTATTTCTTTAAATCACTCAGTTCTCTTTTTTACAAAAGTCAAATACATCAGTTATTGTGGAACAAACATCTGCCTTCACTACCTACAGGTCAGCTCTCTCAAGAACTTCCAGAATGCCTTGTGGACACTTGATAAAATTTCACCATCAAAAAGAAAATGTGAAGCCAAGGGGTTGGACAGATGGCTCAGTGGCAAGAAGACTTGCTGCTCTTCCAGAGGACTGAAGTTGGTTCCCAGCATCCACACCAGGCTGCTTCTGACTTTCTTTAACTCCAGCTCCAGGGAATCCAAAGCCTCAGAACACCAAGGATGCCTGTACTCTCATGCATATACCACAACCACACACACGCACGCACACACGCACGCACGCACGCACTAAAAATGTATCTTTCAAAATGTAAATGTAACTCCATAACTCCATCTCCAAAATGTATCCTTGTTTTCTCAGAAGACAAGACAGAAGTCATTCTTCATCCACTAAGATATGCTGAAGTCATTCACATTCTCACAAAACATCTTTCCACCTAGGTGCTCCACCTAAGTGCTCCTAGTATGATGTTATCCACCTTCTCATCAAAGCATCCTTCCCCCTAATGTGATGTCATTCACCTTCTTTTGAGGCATCCACCCACCTAACTGCACCTAGTAGATGTAACACTACCTGGGTCTACCTGGGTCACCTTTCAAAATGGAAGACCTTTTTACTCTAGCTTTGGGAGTGGTAATGGGTAAAGACTCTCATACCCCAGCACTTTGAACCACAAAGGCCTCCAGGGTGGACTTACACTGGTGGATAGGCATGAGAGAAAGAGACTCAACACCCCAACACAGGCTAGCTCAAAGGCCAGCCCAGCTCTCCTTCTGGAGGTCAGAGAACAGAGGCTCTTTCTCTCTCCATCCTGCTTCTTTCCAGGTCCTGGACTATATCAGAGTACACACAGGTAGGAATCTCAATGAAACTAGGAAGGTTCTCATAAGGAAAACCTTTTTTTTTGTTCACTAGTATCTAACTACTCTGACTGGAACCTAGGAATTTAACTCCTAAATAAACTTTTATTGAATTGAATGAAATCATTCACCCAAATGGCAAGAAATAATAGCATGTTTTGCCTAATATAATATAATATAATATAATATAATGCTCCAAAGCTACACAGAGAAATCCTGTCTAAAAATACAAAAAAAATCTGATCTTATCTAAGAGTAAAATATAAATAGATAAGTGTTTATCTCACCCATGTAGTTCAGTCTGTATAATTTAGATCTATTCTTGAATAGATAAATCAGCTAGATAACCAGAAGTCATAAGGGTCAGCTTTGGCTTCATCCTACCTTTTCCACATCCCCTAGGCCCTCAGTATCCAGGAGGACCAGGGTGTGCTCTGGCTTGGTGGGATGTGGCACACACCACATCAGATGCTCTTGGTTTCAGACTGCACAGTGGAGCCCAGAGGGAAGCCTGAGGGAAGAGGTGAGAAGTCAGGGTCAGTAAGTTAATACCCTGCACAGATAGCCTCAAGTGGTGAACTATCAGTGTCCAACAGCCTCATGTGGTAAACCATCAGAGCCTGGCAGCATCGTGTGCTAAAACTTCAGTGCTTGGCAGCCAGCACCATTTTGAGTGATTCCAAAGATTTGAATTGAAGAGTTGAGCCTAGCTGAAGGATACTTGCACCATAGGAGAGATAATGGAAGTTATAACTGGGTCCCCAGTTCCTTCCTCAGCCTCTGCGCCCCTTTTCCATGAAGCTGACTCTTCGATCTCACTATGGTCCCAGGATCAATGACTCCAACGAGTGTCCAGATTAAGTCCCTCCCCTTATGTTGTTGTCTCTGTTGCTTTGGACAGGATCACAACAAAGTACTGAAGAGGACAATGCACAGGAAAGCAGATGTAAACAGTAGAACTGGCATCGTGTAAAACTCAACACTCAAATGATGTTTCATCTTTCCAAAAAAAGTCCTAGTTCATGAGTCATCTATTTCAAGCTATAGGGGGCATTTAACATGAGAATGAAACCACACAAGGCTCCAAATGGAAACAAAGAGGAATCCACCAATCAGAAAACATGGAGCTCTCTGGTGGCTGCAGTGAGAGTGTTTGAGCCAGCCATGGGTGGACACACCTGTAATCCCTGCCATTAGTTTGAAAGCAGCTAGGACTACATACCTAGACAGAGGTCAACCAACAAGACTGACTCAAAAGCAAAGGTACTTTTTTTTTTTTTTACAGGTTATGAGAACTGGTATGGGTTCCAAGTCAGAGACCCACAAGAAGATAGAAAAAAGAAAAATAAAAGAAGGAAATTATTATAATAGGTTTTTTGTATTCAAAGTCATTAAATCAGCAAAACAAACTGGAATATGAAGTTATAAAAGAATATAAACTTATTTTTAAAGTTTTTTTCATGATTTATTTCTAAATGAATAATTTTTAAGATTTACTTATTTTAATTTATGAACATTAGAATTTTGTCTGCCTGTATGCAAGTGCCCCATGTGCATGCCTGGTGCCCATAAAGGTGACATGAGGGCATCAGATCCTCTAGAACTGGAGTTACAGAGATTCTGAGTCTCCATATATGTGCTGGGAATGAACTCTTGCCCTCTGCAAGAGGAACCAGTGCTCTTAACCTCTAGACTATCTGTCCAGCCCCACCTGTGGTGGATTAAAGTCTCAAGTATCCAAGACTTTCTATCCTGAAGGAAATATTTTATTGAGAAAGGAAACCTGCTGTATGAGACAGGAGATTGACACACAGGATCCCATTGTTTAGGACATTAGAAAAGGTGCTGTCTCCGGCACTCCTAAGAGAGAATTTCCTTAATGGAATGGAAGGAAAGAATGCAAAAACTGATTAATGGAGAGCAGTAATTAGTCATGCACATAGCATGAAAGGGTGGCTGTCCTGAAAGGAGTTTGGCTTTCCTTTGTTATAATTGGCAATAAGAATTAAGATAATGTGACAAAGACAGGCAAACCTTTGGCCAGTCCCCAGCATGCCACTCACCTTGATTCTGTCCTGCCAGACGGTTCATCAGGTAGGACTTCCCTGTGCGGTACAATCCCACAATGGCCACGACTACCACTGGCTGTGAAATCTCATTCAGAATCTCTATGGCTTTCTGGTTCACAGACAGCTGCTCCTTGTGGTTTTCCACCAGACAAATGGGGGCTGTCATTTGTGGTCTGGTCATCGCAACTTGCAAAGCTAGAAGAATCTGCAAGAAGAATGCAAAGCCATTCTCTGCCTCTGTGTTACTCAAGCCCTAGGCGCCTTGGGACTGATGACATTTGTATATTTCCTGTTGGCAGTGAATAGATGCAGAGGACATTCTCCTCTTTCTTATTGTTCTTCCAAAGTTCTAAAGAAGGTTTTGGTAAGACATGGGCTCCATCATCTATAAGGTTTTATTTCAATGTAATAAAACCCAAACAACTGTTACCTTCATTAAAGTCTGATAATATGCTAAATCTTGGAATGAAGCCTTTCGTATGTGACCTCCAAAGATCTAGAAGTACCTGCTAGTTAGGGATTAGTGCACACTGCCAAGGAGATCAGTGAGTTTCTAAAACCTTAACTAACCAGTAAAATGGCAGACCAGTGGGTTCTAAGTCCTTGTTCCCTCTGTTCACAGATTTTCAAGTGGCTGAAAAAAAGTGTAGGAGCTTTGGAAGATAGCCATGAATTACACAAACGCTGAGATGTCTAGATGAATAAACAGTGTGAACTCCATGTGTATTTAGTTGACTTTTCACTGCTTAGCCCTGCCCACACCCTATCTGTCACAGAACCAAAGCAGTAATTATTGCAACATTCTAACCTGGGGCTAACCTAGTCTCTGATTTACCTAACTTGGATTTCAAGTAGGGATTGCTTCTTGAATATGATACCAAAATCTTAACATGAGTGAATAAGTAAATAAAATCCACTATGTAAAATTAAAAACTTTTGTACACCAAATGACTTCTAAAAAGAGTATAAAAAGGCAACACAAGATTGGTTGATGAATAATGTAAATTATATATATGATCAAAGGTAAAACAAATTTAAGATTATTTTAAATAAAGAACATCTACAATTCATCATAGACAACTCAGTATTAAAATGAGCAAAACACTGGACTAGACATTTCTCCAAGGAAAGTTTAGGCATGGCCATAAGCACATGAGATAACATTCAATATTGCTAATTACTCTGTAAAGAAAAACTCTAAAGTTTTAAGGAATTTATTTGAAAGGATATGCTGTACAAACTGGGAAATACCAATCTGGAAGATAAGGTGTCTATATGTCCATGAAGCCATGTCAGCTGCTTTGTTAGAAAAACCTGGAAGCAAAATGAAGAAACTTTGGTTACATGAGTTCTGTCTAGTGGGGCTGGGGACCTGGTATAAAAGTCTACAGTCATGTGATCTCATTGTGTGATTCGGCTTCTTGTAATTTACTGGAGTTGACTCTTGCTAACCTATTTACTTAAAAAAAAAAAAAAGTCTCATGGGCCCCTTTAGGCCAGGCGGTGGTGGCACACGCCTTTAATCCCAGCACTGGAGAGGCAGAGGCAGGGGGACCTCTGTGAGTTCGAGGCCAGCATGGTCTCCAGAGCAAGTGCCAGGATAGGCTCCAAAGCTATACAGAGAAACCCTCTCAAAAACCAAAAAAAAAAAAAAAAAAGGATTGCTTGTTTTTGTGTGTGTGTTTGCAGTTTTGAAGGAACAATAATTAAAAATTATTAAAAGATTTAAAATGTAGGCCCTGAAAAGTGAACTTCTAATGACTGGGAATGCCATGGCTGGTGCCTGAGCCCTGCTCTCAGAGAAGAGGAGGTGATCCTCCACCACTTGGGTCCAAATTCCTATGTCTTGGGAGGGAGAGGGAACTGGGATTGACATGTAAAACAATCTTGTTTCTAATTCAAATAAAAAAAAGGAAAAGAAAAAAAAAATCCTATGTCTGCTCATTGCTGGTCATAAGATTGCAAAGATCCCTTGGCCCAGGGGATAACTGACAGACCCTGTGACCCTGCAGCCCTGCAAACTCTGTGCCCTGTTTTATCTTACTTAAATGTATCTTGCTTAAAATATATAGTTACTGCTTTACTCTTGTACTTTGTATGACCTTAAGTAACCATGGAAACTCCGAAATTAGTGGCCTTCAACCTTATGGTCTGCCCCTTTAAAAGCTTCTCTTTTTGGCTGGTTGGCATCTTATTTCTCAGATGCAAGCTGGTCACCTTGACCAATAAAAAGAAACCTTCTCCTTTTGCATTGGAAGTGTCTGCTCCTTGGGTTGATCTCTTGTGCTCCTCGAACCTGGCACAACAGTTTAAGCAAGAATGAGGTTATTTTAAGAACTACTTGCTTTTATTGCTCAATAATCTTTCAATCCTAGTCTGCATTATAAGGAGGCTTTAGGAAACACTGGGGAAGTGTCACCCAAAACCACAAGGTGTCACCTCATACCCAGCAGGACAGCTACCACATAAGACAAAAACAAATAAATGTGAACCAGGATTAAGCAATTTAGATGTCCATGTACCTGCAGCTAAGAGTGGAGAATCATACTACCTCATGGAGCATAGTCTTGGTGTCCTATAAAATTAGCTGCAGATCAGACAACACATAACCTGCCTTTCCCGAACTTCCCTCCATGGCCACTCCATGTTCCAGACTAAATTGCTTCTGAATGGAAGAAAAAGTAAATATACCTGGTACAAGTACAGTTCTCGGCTGCTTTAGGTGGCCTCTGATTCCCTTCCCGTAGCTTCTACACTCCTCTTTTTATAAGCCGACCCACCACACACACACACTGCAAAAAAAAGTCTTATGCTGCAGGAGAAATGAAAATGAAAGTAAAGTCATCCAAAGCCTTGCTAATTTAGCCAAGATGCTGGAGGGCAGGAAAAGCAGTGAGTTACTCTGCTGGCTGAGGGACATCAGTCCTCCCACTGAGGAGAGCTTTGACAGTCTCTTTGCCTGAAAACCCTCCCCAGTGTCTTTTGCACAGTAAAAACACAGTAAACTCGAGGCACCAAACTAAGAGAAGTTACACAATCGGGAATTGTTACAAACATGTTTCTGTCAGTGGAAATTCCCTGTGTTTCTTTGGTGAAGAGCTTTAATGTTTTCTGAAACAGAAACCATTAATCTAAAAATGGTTCTTAAAAGAAGCAATTAGAAAGAAATAAAATGAAATTTAAATGTCTCATTTCACACAAGTTATTAATGTCTGCTTTCAACCAAGACCTGTAGTGAACTGACCTTACAAAGCAGGTTAAAATACCATCTTTAACACATCTAGAAGAAAGCACTTGTCATATTCTCTAAAGTGTCTAGAGTTTCAGGCTGAAAGAAGAGGAGGCTCATGTGAGGAACACACAGAAATGGCCATGTGAGAAACACACTCTGAAATGGTCATGTGAGGCACACATTGAAATTGCCATGAGAGGAACATGTGGAAATGGCCATATGAGGAAGACTTTTTGCTCCTGGATCACACTCAATCACCAGGCTTTACCATTGATAAAAAATTTCCCAGCTTAAATTCCTCTTTATATCATGTAACCAGTCACTCACTCATAAACACAGAGAACAGCCACCTTCCACACACATTACAGAAAACATATTATCCACACAGGGATGTTTTTTGCTCTGAGTTTTTCAAGACTTTCCTTCATATTACCTTAGCATTTGACTTCTCATATAGATGTAATAATTAAAGGAACTCATTAATTTGCCTTCTTTTTTCATCTCACGTTATAGACAGTGGAGGCTGAAGAGCTGCTGAGAACTCTGTTATTTTCTCTCGCACAAACTGTGTGCATCACCATGTCGTTCTTAAGGGTAAATGGAATTTTAATTAAATATAGATATCACAAAAACAATCACTCTAACAAATGTAACCTAATCCTCATGGAAACAATGCTCCATCTAATACTCTACTGAAAAATAGTCTTTCAACGTTATTACTTTCAACTACAGACCTGATGCAATCATTTTCACCCCCCCCCCATTTGCCTTCCAAGTAGAGCTCAGGGATTTGGATGACTGCTACTTGCAATTATTTGCAGAAAACATCTAAACAGTGGAGAAAGGTGAAGGAAGGGCAAGGTTTGACAAGAGTAGTCCTTTGTAGAATTAAATCACAGCTTCAGTTACTAATACAGTACCACAGATGTCATACTCCATCCCCTCCCCATCTTCCTATTTAATAATGCCAGCCTCAGGCTAATGAGTCATTAGGAAAAGCTGGTGTAGAGAAAGTTAGGCCTATAAATGTGTCATGTAATGAACTGGAAACACACAAATTCACAAACTGAGCATTTAACTATACAGATGAAGAGGAAATCTAAAATTGCAGACCCTCCAATACTTACTTGTGGGACATAGCCAGAAGTACATTTGAAATTAGCAGGGCGAGGTTTTCCATTTATCAAAATATCTCCTGATAATCCACGTGGATCTTTCCTTGCAGCTAAGACATCTAGTAACCTACAGAGGGTTATATATGTTGTGTAGTTTTCTTTCTCCCTTCAGCAACAACTATCCACTAAGCCACTAAGAGTTAAAATTATTCATGTCAAAAGTTTACCTACACACACACACACACACCCACACACACACACACACACACACACACACAACACACACACACACACACCTTTCTGTTCACTATGTGCTCTAATACAGTCCAGAATTATGAATGCAAGACATGATCCACATGAACACCCCTCCCCTCCATGCTATCTGACCTTGGGGACTAAAATAGGTAATGCACACACACACACACACACACACACACACACAACACACACACACACACACCTTTCTGTTCACTATGTGCTCTAATACAGTCCAGAATTATGAATGCAAGACATGATCCACATGAACACCCCTCCCCTCCATGCTATCTGACCTTGGGGACTAAAATAGGTAATGCCCTTCTGTATTTTGAAAATTAGGCCTGGTGATACTTTCTTTTCCCCAGAAACTTGTCCTTCATCTTTCTAATTTTAATAATATCTCCCCCAAATTAAATAATAATATGAACCCACAGCAAATGTCAATTGCTCTATGATTTCCCTACAGGAAAGTGACCTAGTAAGACTTTCTGTTGGTGGTAGAAAATGCAAATGCACCCTCCTGCACATTATCCACAGGCTCACACATATACACTCACACAATACTTAGACAACTCCTATAAGAGTGGCTTAACAGGAGGGAAACTGGATGCCAAGGGCTTGCACATGCTTTCCTTTATACTCACAAAGATCTGCTCCCATCCTGAGGTTCCATAATGGCATTGAGGCTAGGTTTCATGATCCTACTGCAAACAGAAAATCAAACTGGGTGATTTTCCTATTTAAAAGAAATGGTATTATCTTAGTGTCTACACTGAATATTGTATTGAAATTGGATGAAATTGTACACAGAAACAACTAAGTAGTCATGAGAAAAATAAAATATTAATAGAGGTCTTTTATTTATAAAAGATGTCGATTGCTAGTGGGAAGTCACCAGAAAAATGGCTCAGATATCACAAAATCCCTTTTGTTCATTATTTAAATGACTCCTCTGTTTTGATACATGGTGCATCTAAGTTCAGCGTTCCTTGAAATAAGTATCAGGTTCTCATGAAGACTCCATTAAACATACATATGGCCTGTATATGTCACATATGTAATAGCCTCTTAGTAACATTTGATGATCAGTATCTTCAAATAGATCTGCTCAATGCCTAGTAGACCTCATCACATGAAATCAATGAGTCAAGGGATATCAGTGGATGTGTCCTTACTATTAAAATAGAACCAAATCAAAATCAATGCATTTCATGTAGAAATCCAAACACTAGAAAGAATTACTCCAGAGGACAGGAGAGCATTGCCAAGCTTACCACTCAACACAACAAAACAAAACCACCTGACTCAAAACAGAAAAACTAAATATAGACACACAAAATGATAATTTCCTTCCCTGATAAAGAGATTAGAATATGCTCAGTTTAGAGTTGGGAGTCATCCCTCCAAGAGACGATATTCTTCACTGATGAATAGGTACAGCACAAATACAAGTTATGTCAGAAAACTGATTCAGAGTAGTTAGTATCCAGATTGAAAAAATGCAATTTTCTTATAGAAAACTTAGCTCTGTTCCCATTTGTTATTTCATATCTGGAAAATGTGTTAATCATTTGCAGTGCTCATTCTCCTCTTGGTTAGAAAGTGATGGGGGTTGTAGATGGAAGAGCAGAAACAACAGTGTCCAAGAACAGAGGGGATGGTTGGCTTGGGGATGAAGAGTATATGCAGACTGACCTGGACAAATCTTGGTGTGTATGCTCTGTCCTTAGATTTGGTTGGAAGCATGCCTTCTCTATTTTATAGAACAATGTGCATAATGTTGGTTTTAGCTCTTTGTAGCTCTTGATAAATTCTGAGCAAATATATGAGGACCTGGACTTTCTGCTGTTGGGACTTTCTCATTGTTTCCATCTTGCCGCTTGTAACTGTCCCGGTCAGCCTGTTATAAACTCTCAGGTCAGTTTTGGAAGTAATTGATCATACAGACCCCTATACAGTCTTTTACATATTCAAATTTCTAGGAATTAAATTTCCAGTATTCTCTCATCATCCTTTGATTTTAATAGGGCATCTTTGATACTATGTTTTCCTCCCTAATTTATATATATATATCGTTATGGGATTGTCAAGATTTTCAAAACAGCAATTTTTGTGTCATTAATCCATTATATTGTTCTTTTAGTCTCCATCTCATTAATTTCACTATGAGCATGAGTCCATCTGTATGTATAACAATGTCCACAGGCCGCTCTGTATTCCTCGCCAGCAAGAAATACACGCAGGACATTCGGATCCTTCTGTAGACAAGCTTTAATGCATCTTACCAGAGTGGAGACTGAACAGAGACTGAGCAGAGACTGAGCAGAGACATTGAACCAAGAAAACCATCCCTATATAAAAGGCTGACCAGCCGCCTGGGACGTATTACCCTATGAATGGCTTTAGCTCCTCAGGCTAAAATGAGCCACGGGATAGGCAGAGATCAAAGGAATGGAGATTACCCAGCGCCTGTGAAGTAATTTACACCTTGGTGTCTTTAGGCAGCATTATAATGCAGGAACCAGCTTCCTACATAACAAGGCGAGACTGGTTCAATGGGTGAAGAAGTTCCTGAGTGAGGGTGAGAACCGAAGTTACACATCCAGAATTCACATGAAGTTGGGTGCAGTCCTAGACACCAGTAAATTCATGCTCCATGGAGAGATGGGAGATGGAGACAGGAGAATCCCAGGACTCTTGCCGGCTGCTAGTCTTACATACACCTCAGTGGACAATGAGAGAATCTGTCTGCTACAGAGTAGAAGGTGAAGACCAATGCTCAAGGTTGTCCTCTTACTGCCATGTGCCATGGTATATCATCACATCCACACATATGCACATGTGAATATGGACACATACACAACTAGATACACAATACACGCAGTAACCATACATACAAATGCAGAAACAGTACACAGAATATTAATAATAGACAAGTCTATGCTTGTTGAAAAAATTATTCAATATACTTGTCTCTTTAGTTCAGGCCCACACCTGGTATTTGATAGTCTTTCTATCACACAAGAGTTTTTACAAAATGAAAAGCCAGTCTTCACTGTTTTTTGATAGCTGATGTTATGAAAACTTAACACAGTCGCTCCAGTCAAAGTCTTCTGGTAACTGGTGTCCATTTTAGGATGCTCATTGGGATTTCTTTTTGCCATTGTGATTGCAACAGGATTGTTATTGGAAGACATATTGACAGG